GCGTGCCTTGCAAGCGCAAGGAGTCAAGTTCGCCCCCCCGGAAAAAAAAAAAAAAAAAAAAAAGAAAAAAAAATTTCCAATAACAGTGATAATGACCATCCTAGCATAAGGACGGTCGTAGCAGGCTGCAGAAGGCCCTCATATTGACCACAAATAGGTATAATCACGTGCTCTCCATGGTGCCACCTGGGCTCTAATTTTTTTGTTTGTTTGTTTGTTTTGCCAAGTAGCTCTGACCCAAATGCAGAAACAGAAATTCTGCAGAACTTTGGGAGGATGAAAAGCCCGCAGCTCCTCAGAATGGGAGTCTGACTTTGCCACGAGGGCACTCGGTGAGGGGACAGCAGCCAAGCCTTGGCCACCTCTGCCTCACCTGCCTTCTTGTCAATAGCTGGTGACAGTTCCCCGAGTGATCATGCCAGGCACCTTGGTATATTTCTTCATATCACCAGATAGATTACGGGGCCTCTATTGATTTTGTGTTTTCACGTGGAAAGATCTAATCTTAATCCTCCATTGTTCATTTTCCTTAACCTTTTAGTCAGAAGTTCGGGAGGCAACCCGCCAGAATGGAAATGGTTTCAGAGGCACGTTGACAGAAATATATGCCACAGACTATTTTATTGTATGGGGTCAGCCATATTTTTTGAACTAATAATGATGATAGAATTTGTATGGTGCGCTACCGTTTACAAAGCACTTCTCCATATTCACTCATTTGATCCTGATGGCAGTCCAGAGAGGTGGGAGTTACTTTGTTTACCGTAATTCGTTCTCTGAGTCTTTCCACAACCTGAATGATGATTATTGTCTGCTGTGTCACAGATGAGGCACCTGCACTGTCCAAGGCGGTGGTGCTGCAGTCAGGGCTTCAGGCTCTCGAGTCCAGACTCTGCCTGGTGTCACCTCATAACCTCGGAGGCAAGAAGTGGACCTTCCACTGTTCAAGAAGTGGACCTTCCACCGTTCATCTCTTTATCTACAAAACAGGTCGGGGCCGGGGATTTAGCTCAGCGGTTCCGCCGCCAGCCTCGCAATCTTAAGGACCCGAGTTCGATCCCTGGTACCAAAAACAAAACAAAAAGTCAGGGAGAGGATTTGCTTCATGTGTTTACTCATCTTCCATTCTTCCTGACTGTCTGTGGCAATCTACAAAACAGGTTGAAGCTCCCTTTCTGGGATTTTGTAAGGATTAATGATGATGTGGACAAACTACCTCCGTGGTACCTAGAAAGAGAATCAATGAAGCTTTTGTAATTAAGATAATAATTATATTAATTTTTTGAAGGTGTGATTTGACGGGAGGGTTTTATGCCAAACTTCTCTATTTTTTTGTGCAGAAGAGAAATTAGAATCTTCCCTGTCCCTATCTCTTCCCTCAGTTTATAAAAGCTCTGTGAATGACAGGAAGTCAGGAGCTCTCCAAGTGAACACCCGGCAGTCTATTGGTGGAAGAGGTGGAGTACAAGAGCCGCATGAGCATGGACAGCCGTGCCTGGGTGTCGCCTTGCCTAAAACAGGGTCCAGCCAGTGGCCTGCGAATCATGTGCAAAGGCACAGCACCTGGCCTTGGAGGTGGGCTGTGGACCCCTTGGTCGGGCACTAAGAAAGGCAGGTGTCCTCTCCACAGTGTAAAACAGCCACACGTGGAGCAGTGACAAGGATGATGGGCTGGAACCAGAAAAACAGAGGGTCTGGACTCTTATTCCCAGCCTTGCCACTCACAGGCTCTGAGGCTTTGAGCCGGCCCCTTCCTTCATCCACTCTTCAACTTTCTCCTTTTATTTTTATTTTTACTTTTTTATGCAAGTGTTGGAAAGGCTTACATTTTTCTTCTTTTATTTCATTAGTACATGTTTCCTAGTACATGATGTTTACATTCAGCTTAGGGAGTGGGTACATGTACTTAACACATTTGATTGTATTCCTTTTCTTCTCCCTCTGTCAGTCTCTAGATCCCATTTTTTATTATTATTATTATTATTATTATTATTATTATTTGTTTTGGATTCATGTTTATGACAAATAGTGATTACATTCATTGTGGATAGTTGGTACATATACATGACACTTCTTAATTTTTTGTGTCCTTTTCTCTCTCTCTCCCCTCAATATCTTGGTTCCCCCCTTCCCGTTTGTAAAACATATTTTCCAGTTTCCTTTTATTAATCTTTTATTTTGCTCTTTATTTGTACTTTGGATTACTCAAATGAGAGAAACCATATGGAATATAAACTTGTATCTGATTTATTTTGCTTAACATTATGCTTTCAAGGTGTACTGATTTTCCTACAAAATGTGTCAAATTTATACTTCTTTATGGCCAAGTAGTATTGCATTATGTACAGAAATAACATTTCTTTATCCATTCATCTGTTGGTGGACACACAGGCTGCTTCCAAGACTGAACTATTACGAATTGTGCCGCTATAATCATAGGTATGCGAGTACCAATGTAATATGATGTCTAACTCTTTCTGGAAGATAACTAGAAAGAGAATAGCTGGGTCAAATTGGAAGTTCTACTTTTAGTTTGGCAAGAAATAACCATACTGTTTTTCACAGTAGCTCTAGTATATACATTCCCACTAAAAAGGAGGACTGGCTCCTTTTTCACTGTAGCCATGCCAACATTGTTATCATTTTATTTCTTGATGACAGCCATCCTTTCTGGTATAAGATGAAGTTCTAGTGTTGTTTTAATTTGCATTTCTCTAATGGCCAGAGATGTTGACCATCTTTACATATGTTTATTGGCTAATTGTACTTCTTCTGAGAAGTGTCTATTAATTTCACTTGCCCATTTTTTG